TGCATGCACGGATGAACGATGCATACATCGGTGTACGATGCACGATCATGCATGCATCATGCGCGAGCATCGTGCATCGTGCACCGTGCATCGTGCGTGCACGATGCATGCATCGCCTCCGCGCCGTGCATAGTGCGGAATCGCCGTGAAAAATGCTAACTGGATATGTTCCAGGTACGCGGGATGGAGCCGCAGGCTGAGCACCCATGGGCCCGCGGGACGGCGGCGCGGGTAGCGCACCTATGGGTCCTCGAGGTGGTACCGATGGTACCGTGGATGGACCGCCAATAGGTCCACGGGATGGCGCCGCGGGCAGCGCTCCCGTGGGTCCCCGAGTTGGCGCCGTAGATTGCGCACCCCCAGCTACACGAGGTGGTGGTAGCCAGGAGCTGGGCTTAGGGGCCAAAGGACTTGGGGCGGGGGCTGCCTGCTGCACAGAGTTGCGCCTGATATGATCGGGGATAACGGGGGCGGCCACTGATGGTCCGGGTGCAGGGCGGGGCGGGGTGGGGCCCCGCGAGGCAGTCGGTGCCCGCGGCCCCGGGGCGTAGGTGGGCGTGGCGCGCTGAGGCGCCGTCGCCGGCACGTAGTGGTGGGGAAGCGGGCTGTAACCCCCGCCGCGGGGCGTGGCGGGGGACGGCAGCGGGGCGGTGGTCCCCCCGCGGGTGCGGGGCGCGTCCTGCACGGTGCTGGCGGGCGAGCGCTGCGGGGGTCCGAAGGTGCGACCCTGGGGGTATGCAGCGGGTGACGACAGCGGGGTGGTGGTGGTGCCGCCGCGGGGGTGGGTCGTGTCCTGCATGGTGGTAGCCGGGGTGCGCTGTGGGGGCCCATAGGCGCGACCCTGAGGGTACGGGGCACTTTGGGGGTAGCTTGTGGGAAGGCCTCGCTGGTACCCCTCGGGATGCCTTAGCGTGGTGTCACGCGAGGGCGCGGGCGTGATAAAGAAGGGTGCCGTGCTGCAACTGGACGCCGGGGAGGCAGGGCTGCGGCCAGGGCTGCGTGCCGGCAGTGTCCTTTGGAAGGACTGTTGCTGGATCGCGGCCGGTGGCTGCCGGGCTCCCCAGGGCTTGCGCCCACCCCAGGCGGTGTTGCTGTTGGTGGTATTGGTGATGTCAGCGGGCCTCAGTGGGGTGACGGTCATGACGGGACTGCGGGAGGCGCCGCGCATGGCTGCAGCCCAGTGCACCGCCAGGGGGAGCTCGCCGTACGACCACCGGCCGGTGCTGTGCGAGGACGACTGCGATGGGGGCGGCCTAGGGACGGTGATGGGGAGGGCTGGAGATCGTCAGCTTGTGAGGCCGGAGAGGAACAAGGTGGCTCACCTGCGGACGGGCGTGACCACAGCAGCGGGTGGCCGAGTGTTCAGCCTTGCCGACCACGCGCCCCTCGTCATCCTGCTACGACTGTCTTTGGCGGCCTCCTTTTCGTCGTCCTGTTGGCCCTGCAGCGTGGGTGACTCGTACAGCCGCCGCACCACGATACCGTCGGCTAGCCTGGCCACGCCTGCCGCCGCGGCGCGCCCGGGCGTTGTGGTTCGTGGGGGAGGTGCGCTGCTGGGGCCTAGCGCCCGCCGCTGAGGCAGCCTGCATGTCGCACACGGGTGTTTGGTTGGTTGCCTACCGGCGCCTTGTAGGCTGGGAGCAGGCAACCCAACTAACGCCTCAGCCTCACCTGGGGGCCCATTGCGAGCCCCGCCATGGCATGTACAGCGAGGGCCGCGGCGGCAGGATGGCCGTTGCCGGTGCGGGGGCCACCGCGAGGGTGGTCGGGGAGAGCCGCGAGAACGACACCCGGCCGGGGGGGATGCGTGGAGGCTGTCGCCACATGGGCAGCGGCTCCGCCGGGACCGCGGCCACGTCCTCCACGCGCTGCCTGTCGTGGACCAAACCCGGTTATCACTCGGGCGGACGCAAGCTACGGCATCTCAGACACCTTGCCTGTTGTGGAACACGGGCTTGGAGCGCTCCTTCTTAGCCGGGGCAGGCGGCGGCGGCCTCCGCGCCACCTCGAGCTCGCGCTGCCTGCGCAGCGAGTCCGGCGCCGCCAGGTTGGGGATGGACGAAGCACGGCGCATGGGGTTGGACACGGGGGGCGCGGTGATGGCGACTCGCGGCCACGGCGCCTGAACGCCCTCCTCGGACAGCGGCACGAAGAAGCGCGGGCGCGTCGTCCCCGCCCACGCGCCTGCCCACGCCCCCGTCGTGGTCGTTGACGGGCCACGCGAAGGCCGCGGCGAGGGTCGAGCTGAGCCGATCTTGGAGGGCCGCGGTGAGGGACGCGACGAGGAGCGTGGCGACGGCCCGACGGAACGGCATCGGGACGCCGTCGATGACTTGGCAGATGGACACCGCGACGCCGCCGATGACCGCTTGGACGGCTTGACGGATGGGCAGCGGGATACCGTCGACGAACGCACCGATAAGTTGGTGTCCACGGCGGAATCTGGAGTGGCGTCGGCGGGCGCCAAATGTGATGGACGTCGGACAGAGCGCCGGCTGCTGCTGCGGCTGCTGGACCCGTGTCTCACGCTCAGCGCGCTTTGCCCGGGCGCACCCTCTTGGTACATGTTGACGTACACCTCCTTGTGCGCCGTGGCTGCGGCCGGCTAGAAAGTGTGGAGGATTGAAAGAGAACAATAACGCACTTGCCCTCTGTTTTTGTCAATTTTTTGCCGTTGAAATACCTGAGTGCTGCTGAGAGCCAAGCTGACGGGGGTGGACGGCGAGCTCTCCGCGTCCTGGGTGCGACGGCGCCCCAGCCCCAGCACCCCCAGCGGCGCCAGCAGCTTGGCGAGGAGCCCCGCGGTCGCGCTGTGCCGGGGGCTGTGCCGGGGGCTGTGGCGGGGGCTCGCGGGGGCTGAGGGCTCCGCGCTGGAGTGCTGTGCCGGGGGCGGGTCAGCGGTCCGGCTGCGCTCGCGGGCACCTCTCCGCTCCGGCGCCACGTCCGAGAACGCAAACATCGTGCCTCGCGGCCGGCGACGCATAGCGGCGGGGGACCTAAGCGGATGGCGGTACTGCGCACAGGGGAGACCGCGAGGACACCACCAACGTGAGACATGAGTTTCATCTTAGGTCAAAGAGCTAGATGTCCCCTGGATTGATTTGTCACCTGAGGGGCGGGCGCGGGCATACGGTAGATCTTAGTCCTAGGGGGTGCAGGCTGGGGAGGGGGTGGAGTTTGGGGAAGATGGGCTGGAGACGGTGCTTGGGGTGACTTAACGGGAGGCTCGGGGGGGTCGATCGTCACCGTTACGATGCGCACCTCCCCCTCATCGGCCTCCTCGCTCTCGGGGAACAGCGGTGTCGCGGAGTTGCGTCGCGAGGCAGGCTGGCTCGGACCGACCACGGTCACCGTGACGGCCGAGGCCGCGGATGCAGCCGAGGCCGGCGAGGTGACGATAAATCCCAGACTCATGTCAGAGGCCGTGGCGCCGACCGGCATGGGAGGGAGGAGGCAGGTCTTGATGGCGTCCACGGGGGTGGCTTGCAGCGGCGGAAAGGGGGGCTGCGGCACCTGAACCAACGGTTTGAGGCTGCAGTCGTGTAATAGAACGAACGAACGAACGAAACAAAAACTGATGATGCAAGGACATTGTCGGACTCACAAGCAAGCCGTCGACGGCCAGCCGCGCCCCGCGAGGCGACGGTGGCAGATGGTGTGGGGCTGGAGATACGAGCGGGCAAGACGCAGTTGAGGCACTGTGCGCCGGCCGTTGGGCTGGGTCATGCAGGCCGAGGCCAGCCGTGACCAGGTCCAGGGTGGGCAAGGAGCGACTCAGCGGGGCCATGTCTCTGCGGCGGGGGAGTCCTCCGAGGGCTGTCAGGGACGCCGCCGGAGACTCGAGTAAAGACCCGCGACCCCGACTTTCAGCTCCGTAGAGGACTCTTAGTGGCTGTCCGGGGCCCCTGTGTCCTGGGTGGGGGCCTGGGTGGGGCCTGGACGGCTTGCCCGGGCCGCGGCCGCTCACCCAGCGTCCCGAGGGCCCCGGGGCCCCCGCGCGCCGTACCAGGGCGCGGCGGGCCCCAGGGCCTAGGGCGGGGCAACGCGCTGGTCAGGAGTGGGTGCCACCGGGGTGGCGACTCCTCTCGCCGTCTTCCCCGTCCTGGGAACGACATCGGCTGGCATTAACCTTGGACCTTGGCACCAACCCCACTTACACACCCCAGGCTCGCTGCCTGCCGGCTGCTTACATCGCGGACGGCTGTCTTGATGGAGCCAATAGAGCTTACGCGGGGGAATCGGCTTCGAGACCTGCTCTCATCGCTTCGACACCACTGGGTCAAAACCAGACAAAAATAATGGCACCCACACTAACAAGATATGTTTATTGCAAGGTTTACGATGGAGGGCCGCAGGCCCTGCGAAAAGATTCAAAATGGCCTTCTTGCGGATGTTACAAGAGCAATGGCCACTCTTACCAGCGTCTTCCGTCGTGTTCGTCTGTTTAAATACTACTTATGGACTTATTTAAATACTCCTCGTCGGCTGAAAGCCGTTTTTGTGTGTAAATGTTGATTTTTTGGTTGCCAGCTGTACCTGTGAACTGAAGTGTTGTCATCAGTAGATGGTCAGCAGCAGCCGGAAAGTTGGCAGCATCACTTCCGTCAGCCGTCAGCTGATGGAACATTTGACCGTCGACCGAAAATTGTTCCTCCTGGGCCTAGCAGACTTCAGTGGAGGACAAGTGCTTCAAGGTCTTCCTCTCTTCGAAGTCTTTTTAGACCTACATTTTCGAACCATGGCCGCCCTGGTCAAGAACGCCATCACAGGTGAGTACCTTTAAACGCATTTAATTTACCATAATTTGCCTGGCAGTCAACGTAGAGGTTAAACGTCGGTCGCATAAATACAACTTTACTTTTACTACACGCCTATTCAAAAGATGTTTGAACACTTCATTAGCAGAGTATTTTGCTGCAACATACGTTTCCCTCACCTTTGATCGTCAAATCATTCGCGACGGTGTGACTATTATTTGAGCCGCATCTTGTACAGAAGGTTATAGGATCCATAACCTCATTATTCCTTCAGCTTGTGTGCATGTACATTACTTCTTGTCAAATACCTTTAAACTTTCATTTTATGCAGACCGTAATATTTTCTTGAGCATGCTTTCAACAGCAGCTTCCCTCTATTACCATTTCCCTGCCCTCTCTTCCTCCCATTCACTACCAGTATCATCCGATATGATTGAACAAGTTTTACCTCTAAGCATATCACTTTCATTTCACAGCTGCTCGCCCATCAGTGGAGAGGAATTTAAAAATTGCCCTGCATTATGCCAGGGCTGAATTAACCCCACCTAAGCCTAGTGAACTGGGACAAGTCGCTTCTGGATTCAACAACGTCCTCACCTCTTTCCGCACTGGCCGCTGGAAGCAGCTGACTGTCAGGGTACGTTGAGATTTCTGTGTTCCTCCAGATAGTATATATTTTTTCAATCAAATAGCTCTGATGTCATTCTCCTTTGTAGGATGCTTGGATCAACGTGCTGGTTGGAATTGAAGTTGGCTGCTGGTTCTTTGTTGGTGAATGTATTGGCAAGAGACACATCGTTGGTTATTACATCCCTAATGAACATCATTAAATGAGAAATTAATGTGATGTAGATTTTACCAATGTACATTTTATGTAATTAATAACTTCATTATGTTGTCCTTTAGTACTGTGCTTAAGATCTGGCATTCTAAAACTTGAGGTGAACAATTTCTGCTACGTACTGGAATTTTTATTGTAATAGTCTGGAAAAGAAATAACAATTATGATCACCTGTCTAACAGTTCTTTTTTATTTCCTTTTACAAGAATGTGTAACAGCTTTTCTAAGTTTAACTTTCTCTTTAAATCACATTGTAAAATATAACAGTGCTAACAGGACAATAATACATCATTTCACAACTCTCAAAAATGAACACAATCTGAATTAACCTTCTTTCATACATGAACAGGGTACATTGGTAAAGAATAATAGAGCCAAAGCCTAAAACACTTTTCCTACATCATTTTATTAATATAAAAATGCAACAAAGCTACAAAAAAATAGTACTAACAATAAATGCATATGAATGATAAATGACTAAAAAAAATATCCAGAACTGACAAGTTCTACATAGTTAATGACATTCAAGTTAATTATTGAAAATGTACTGTTAACAAATTTGTATGAGGAAGGGTGATCCTACCTAGAACCACTCAGAGCAGAACTTGGAAGAAGTAGAAAATTCTGACATTCTATACAAATCAGGATTCATTCAAAACAATATCTACTTTGTTTTAAAGTGTTAAGTACAGAGAAAAATGTACACCTTACACAGCCATTACTTAACCAATCAAGGCCTTTCAAGAAAAAATTTAAAAGATACATTCCTCACAGAACTATTTCTTTTTCTTCATCTTCATCTCATATAGTTAAAGTCCAGTACTAAGGCCTAGCTTCGTTGCCACCTTCTCCTGTGCCACAGCCGCATCACGCAATGCATACAGATGAGACATTTCAAATTCTGTCTTGGATAGTGGAATGGCTTTATCAAACAGCTCAACAGCTCGTTTTAAGTTGCCTCTGGAGAAAGATTACAGAAAAACTGTTAGCATTAAAGCTCAATGAAATTCGATAGGTTAAAGAAGGTCTTTATCTTACCTCTGAACTTCAATGGTGCCTAGAGTTTCATATGCGAATTCACACTTACTGTCAATATTAATAGCATCCTCAATAAATTTAAGTGCTTTATCAACATCATTCTTCCACTGCAATTGCAGGAGACCTAGATTCAAAATGGAAAAGAGTAAGTACATGTTATCTGAAACATCATCAACTTCAATGAGGGAATATGACTCCTTGTTCACAGCAATGTTCTGTTGAATCACAAACCTCTGTGCACAACTAATGTGGCATTAGAAGGATCAAGCTTCATTGCTTTTTCAAAATATTTGTCAGCATCTTCAAAGTTTCCTTTGTCAGTCAAAACCTGCAATGCACATAGGAAAATTTGCTTCATTAGAACACTAAATCACCACTTTGCTAAAAGGTATATCAAAGTGTACAATTTTACCTGAGCATAAAGCATGTAACACTCCTGACAATCTGGGAACTTTTGGATTGCTTCCTCAAAACACTTTTGCGCACTTTTAAATGCTGAAGGCCCATTCGTCATTGAACTGAAGCGGTAATCAATGTAACACTTTTGCACATATGCAATGGGGAAGGTAGGATTCAGCTCCACTGCTCGAGCAAAGTCGCTCTTTGCCTCCTCAGCCTTTTCAAGCAGAAGGTTCATCTGGAAAATAAATATGTGAGACGGGGAGATGTCAAAACACAGATTGCCAGAATCTGCTTGCAAGCAACAACTTCAAAAAATACTTGATTTTGAAAATCCTTGTATTTACTCATCCTTCCTTACCTGACCCCTATGGTGGTATACATCAGAGTTTTCAGGATCAAGATTAGCAGCTTTCTCGAAGTCCTCAAAGGAGCGGTTTGGCACATCCATTTGCACATGCAATGAGGCTCTTTTGATTAAAGCATTGACACGCAGCTGTAAAATAAGTATTGAATTTTTATTCTTAAACTTAATAAAATAATGTAACTTTAATTTTAAAAATTTCCTTCACAAACTTGCCTTTTTATCCGCCATTTCATTTTCAATTACAGCTTCCAAGTCAGCTGCAGCATTCTTCATTTCCCCAAGCCAAAGATAAAAAGTGCCTCTCAACAAGAGTGCAGCCATAGTACTTCCACCATCTGCTTCAACTGAATCAATCTCCTCTGAGCAGGCTGCCACAATTTGGTCATAGTCTCCAATTGCAAAAGCATGCTTTGCCTTCTCAAAACCCCTAAAAACAAAGAATGGAAGAGTGTGCTTCACTTACAAAATTAAGAGAAAATCATTCTAAAAGCTACTGAGGCATACTTTTTAGATGCAAGGTCTTCTGATTTGAGTCTCTCAGGGGGGTACTCAGACTTAATCATTTTTTGGAGAGGATCTTCACTAAATGCTGACAGGAACGTTCGAATAAAATATTTTGATGGCATTTGAGGCTTTCGATGTTTAATGGCTTCTTTGGCATGCTTTCGACCTAATAATCAGAAATTTTTCATCAAATTGAGTGGATTGTTTGCTCCTAACTTTTACTAACCATACATTGATTTAAGTACACACCTAGAGCCTTGAGAACACGGTCAGCCTGGACAATGGAAGATTGGTTTTGGAATGCCTCTATAATACACACTGCTGTGACATCTTCCAGGCATTGCTCCAACTCTTCTGTTTGTTCCAAAGCTTTGGCCCTCCGTTGAAGAGCTTTGACATATCTGGGGTTAAGCTCTAGAGCCACAGAGCAATCTTCTATCACTTTGGAATATTTACGCTGTTTTACAACAGAAACAACAGGTTATAAAATAGATAACTCATTTCTAGGACACAGCTGTTGACACCTGCTAGTCAATTCACATAGACTGTGACCAATTAGCAGGGTGATGAGAGCTGAGACGAACTGACATTGGCTTGAGGATTTCAGGTTCTGAACTTGTTCCTTCATGCAAAACTCACCAGTTGCTCATAAGCTGCAGCACGGTTTTGATAAAATATATCCGATTTTTCAGTACTTGGACAAGCTTCTATAGCCTTGGTGTACATTAAGATGGCATCATCATATTTTCCAGCTTTAAATAACTTGTTGCCTTCATTCTTATAAATTTGGGCCCTCTTGAAGGAATCCTTTGGAAACAAATGTCAGGATAATAATAATATATTATTTTTATTACATGTAATGATAATAAAACATTATCAGCTGCACTGCAGATAAGTGTTCTAATATTTGGAAGGCATATGCAACTTAATGGTAAAGATAACACAGAGTTGACAGAATATGTACATAGACATGTTATAAAATCTGAGAAGACGTTTTGAACTGTGCTGCTCCCATTCAAATTAGTCCTTTCATTACAAGAGGGGAAATGTGACAAAGTGTGGGTGAGCACTACAGCCATGTACCACCTCCCATACCGAGTGACATCTACGACACAACTATATCACCCAATAGGATCAAAAATAAAGTGAGGAATACAAATTTTAGTTTTATTTACCTTTTCGTTCGCAATCATTGCTTCTATAGATTCAGCGGTGTTATCCGGACCTTCCATAGAGGGGGTCTTTGAGGTTGGGTTGCCGTTCGTTGAGGTGCCGGAAGAGTTGCGGTTGCGAATTTTTCCAGATTTTCGGTAATACCAGTAGCTGACACCAGCTACTGCCAGAGGAGCCCCAACGACAACGGCAACTTGCCATTTTGACCAAGAATTCCCACCCGGGCTCCAAGGTCCTGCTCTGCTGACCGCCGCCATGACACTCGAGAGTGTGAAGAACGGTCACCGCCACTTGCAACGTCAGCCGGTCTTAAATTCAAAACACACGTGAAGCAGACGACAGCCCCGACAGCCACTAGAACTCGGGTTCCGAAACTTAACAAAAAAACTTTGCAGAAATGTGGGTGCAGACAATAGACCCCTTTATATCTATCTCCGCTCAAAGAACGAGGTAGGTAGCACATTTTGACGACTAGACCTTGTTAAGGAATATTTCATGACTCGTTTTTGTAAGTTTTCTACCAATAAGAAAAATAAAGTGTTGCAAACCTGGTGTTCGTTGCCTAGCAACCAGAAGCGCTTAAAATCAAAACACAGGTGTTCACTGGTTTATTGTCATTATATGGAAAGAATGCCATAGGAGGAGGGAATCCGCAGCACGTGCCAGTTCGGCATTATCGACATATTTTCGTGAATTCATTTTGTAGATCACACGCTTTAGGTCATTTCGTGTGAATACGAATTCTGCTACTCAGTATGGATCCAATTTTTCTTGCACTCAGCTTGTACAAAAAAAGATGCTTTGAAGAATGTGTTTCTACTTGTACAGAACTGCTAGATAAAAATCCATTTGACCAAGTACGTGTATCTTACTAGGATTGTCTTTGTCCTTTAACATATTTACTCTATTGTCTATATCTTTACAATGTCATGGAATGGTTGTAGGCAGTGTGGGTTCTCAAAATGAAAGCACTTACTGAACAATTGTATGTGGATGACTTAGAGGCAGAGGAAGAGGGTATTGCTGAAGCCTTTATGGATAATGAAACAATAGCAGAATCAGCAAGACCAGGTACTTCCCTCAAGAACCCTGGTACTTCACAAGGCGGCTCTACGCAGGGGTATAGGTAGGTTTCTTCGTTAGGAAATTTGTATGGGTTTTGTTTTTCTTTAAAATATGGAGTATACACTAATAATGGTCCTATGAAAAGACCATGGACTCAAACAGGTCGGCCTGTCAGCGGTGTTATTCGTCCAGGTACTCAAACTGCAAGACCTGGTACTATGGAGCAGGCATTGCGAACACCTCGCACTTCAAAAACAGCCCGTCCTTCAACTAGCCAGTCAGCTCGTACAATACGGCTTGGTACAGCTTCAATGCTTTCTGAACCAGGTGGCCCTTTCATTCAGCTATCAAGAATAAATCTTGGGAATTATGCAGCCAAACCTGCCTTGGCAAAACCCTTATTTCTTTATATACTATATCATGAAAACAACATACGACATGTGAGTAAAATCAGCTTTGTATACAGACAGAAAAAGGTTTTTACTCATTTCTTCCTTATTTGGATTTTATATTTTAGGCCCTGCAACTTGCTGTCTTGGCTACTCAAGCATGTGAGTTCAAAGATTGGTGGTGGAAAGTTCAACTAGGAAAATGCTACTATTCTCTTGGTCTGATGCGAGAGGCAGAACAACAATTCAGATCTGCGTTGCGGTAAATTAATTGAATAATGATTTTAAATCCTCTTTGAAAGTGGAATCAACACTTACTTAGCTGTATTACAGACAGCATCAGTGTATAGAGACATTTTTAAGACTTGGACGAGTATATATACGTTTGGATCAGCCCCTCTCAGCTTTGGATGTGTGTCGCACTGGTCTGGAATATTTCCCAAAGGAGGTAACTCTGCTCACAGAAATAGCACGGTGTGTAAAAGCCAAATATCTGTTCTTGTCTATGTTGGTCAGTTTGGTTGTATGCATTCCAATAGATATTGTTAAAATCAAGCCACATCCCCCCAGTATTTATCTTGTATAAGAAGAATTAGATGGAGGGATTAAAATTCCAGCATGGTTTGTGTTCTCAGTGGATGTCACAGAACAATTTTTTTCATGACACTCACGTAAATTACAGCTTTTCTTTATAATTCCAGGATTTTTGAAGGCCTCAATAATATGACAATGTCCGTCAAATACTATAGAGAAATAGTTACAGAAGATTCAACAAACGTAGAGGCAATTGCATGCATAGGTATGCATCATTTTTATACTGATCAGCCTGAAATGGCCCTGCGTTTCTACAGGTCAGACCCCCATAGATGTTTTTTGTCATCATAAATATTTCTGTAAGATTTACCCATTTACAATTTCCTAAACCTAAAAATCTGATAATAAATATTTATTCTAGGCGGCTATTGCAAATGGGCCTGTACAATGCTGAGCTGTTCAATAATCTAGGTTTATGCTGTTTCTATGCCCAACAATATGATATGACTTTGAGCTGTTTTCAGCATGCTCTCAGTCTGGCTAAAGATGATGATGTTGCAGATATCTGGTACAATATTGGACTCATTGCAATTGTATGTAAGCACATTGAATTATATTTGTGATATAAAAATTTCCTTTAAGTATGGTCATTTCTCACATTATCTTTTAAAGGGAGTGGGTGACACTCGTCTTGCTGGTCAATGTCTAAGATTAGCAATCTCATCAGACAGTGGCCATGCCCCAGCCTACAACAACCTTGGAGTGTTGGAGCTTAGAAAAGGGAGGATGAACGAGGCACGTGCATTCTTCCAAGCCGCAGCTAGCTTGGCCCCATATCTATTTGAGCCTTATTTTAACCATTCAGCACTTTCACATAAGGTTTGTTAGAAACATTATCAAATTTACACCATAAAAAAATACTGTTTCTTTGCATTTTGAAAAAAAGAAGTACAATTCCTTTTTAAATTTTTAGATTGGAGATCTACAAGCAAGCTACATTGTCATTCAGAAAGCATTGGAAGCTTACCCAAACCATATACCATCACAAGAACTGCTTCATACGCTTGAAAAACACTTTACTATCATTTAGAGAAGAATACAACTTAGAGAAATGATTCAATGATAAAAATAATATGTTGATATGAAAGTTTTGCCATTAAGAAAAAACTGAGGTATGAGCTATCCAACTAAAATTGTGTGAAAAAAGTCACACTCATTTGGCGGTCATATAGTATTGTGTACGACTTGGACATGACATGACTTGGACATTGAATTGAGTAATTTTGGATTACCTTTACTCTTGAGACGTTTGATAAATAGAAACAAAAATTCTGTATTAATTAAATTAACATATCTAAAACATCTTATATAGCAACATTCAACGAAGTATATCTATGTACAGATCAAAATTGGTCAATATATACTGAGAATATGAGAATGCAGAGTTTTCAGGTTTGAAGTAAACAATGCCACAGGGAGACAATAGAATACATGCTCTATATATCACAACATAATATATTAATTCAAAATTTTAAGTCTTTGATTGCTTGAGGAAAATCTGGCAGTTTCATATCTTTAATTTGTTGAGGAATGTTCATGTTTTTAACAGCAGATACAGCTCTAGCAGGGGCAGCAGCTATTCCCGCCTGAAAACACAAAAGAAAGTCAGGTATTAGAACTACGTATGTAATTGGTGAAAGAAAACTTGGTGGTTTTTCCAGAACAATTCCCAACTTCAAACTTTAAAAATGCTTCCCATATTCTCCACTGCTTGATAAAACTGTCTTAAATAACATGCTTCAGGCATGATATTGGTGTATTTACAATATCAAAGCATTAGACCTTTTTTTTTTTTTACACTGTGCACTGTGGGCATGCATGCAATATGGTATCAAAACATCCAAGAATTTTAAATTATCTCAACAGAAGACAGAGTTTGGCACAATTATAGTTTTATTTGAGTATCTAGCTTTATTTTGAGTTACATGTCTAAGTCTGCAAGTAGGGAATTATTGCAGCTGTCATAAATGACACCCAGACAAATGACACTGTGTGTATTAAAACGTAATAGTAACTTTGTAGACACAAGGAGCTATTTATGCAACAAGGGTAATTCAAGAAATGTTCAATACATTGCAACAGTAAGTACTTCATCTTGGCTGAAAGGTACTGCACTGTCCTGATGCAAGCTGCTAAAAAAATACTAAAACGGATAAGAAGCACAAGTATAACAGTGATTGGTATTAAAATCACTGAAAAAAAGCATGATACAGCCCTCACCATTCCTTTGGCACATGTCTGTAGCTATCAACACAAACCAAATATGAACTGTAGGAGTATGATATGCAAAAGAAATAAGATCAAATAATATGTGTGCTGTGCTTTTGAATGAAGGACCAAGGATCACAATCTGTGCCCTATGCAGTGCACTTCAAATTACAGCATTCAGCAGTATGCAAAAAATAGGAGTAAAAATCTCCTCTCAACAAAGCAAAGCACACACCCTGAACCGACAGAATTACAAAAAGGTACAGTGGCACAATCAAGGGTGAAACAGTTAAAGGTACCAGAAGCAAATAGAAATTTTGGAAAAGTCTACAAAAAGTTGTCTGTGTTTTTTGAAGATTTCTTCTTCTATTTTTCACTCAATAGGATCTGTTGCTCAAAGGTAACTTTACTGTTTCTCAGACTACAGAACAACAGGCTACATCCAGTCCATGCGCAAAGCACACAGCAGTATGTGCTAGAGTAGCCTCTTGATGAGTCAAGACATAACTGCATTGAAGTATTACTTCCAGCAATGAATCAAAACGAAGGTGAAGGAAGAAATATAGTTCTTCGAAGGCGTTTAGGATGAAAGCGCTTGGTAGTCCTAGAATGTTCCGCACTTGTAGAAGAAGAGAAGGTAGAGGAAGACCAAGGGCTCTGAAAACCAGAATACACATTTGAAAATGTTGATTTATACCAGAACTATTCAGCTTTCAGTAGCAGCTTTTGCTCCACCTAAGACACAGAAGAAAACAAATTTAACACACTCTGCAACTGTAAATACTGGTGAGCTTTCCATGTAGTACATCTACATGGATGGTTGGTTTGATAAAAAGAGATAAATTGCCACAGGGACTGTTCTACACAAATAAAAAGTCCCAACCCAAACACAAAGCATTCGGGACAACAAACACACATATGGAAACAAAAAAAAGAACAAAACAAAAAAAAAATGTAACCCAGCACCTACCGAATCAAAATAGACTTCTATCCTATGCATAGAAAGAAAAATGATGCCAGGTGAAGAACTCTAGACCAATTCGTAAATGTTCAAGAAGCTTGTCTGAAAAAAATAAGATGTTTGACGCTATGAGGTGCACAAAAAACAAATTAAAACAGTGATTGGTGCAGCCTTCTTCAAGACTTGAATTACATTACAGCATTAAAAGTAATAAATAAAAGCTGTTACAGTTGGGTTGGATGGTTGAAATCTTGTCTAGTAAAGAAAAAGAGGGGGATATGCTGTGAGAAAAATGGGAAACCTGGGCTTTAGGTTAAAAACTGTGAATCTCATAAATATATATGAAGGGTAAGAATGCTCCACTTAGACTGTGTAAGACTTGTTATAGTAGACTAGTTTTATATTCACACTACAGCATTAAGAAAGGACAAATTTTACATACCTCTTGCTTCTCAAGTTTGTTTTGATCTTCAATTCTTGATAATATTTCAGTCATATTTGTTTCCAAAACCATTCCACCCATCACAAGCTCATTTAAAATGTAGTGAACCTGAAAGAAAGAAAAAATACCTGTTATTGTTAAGATTTGTTAAATATTTCTAATCAGAGGAACTTTCAGCCACATACCTTATCGACGTGAAAGATTAAGTCCAATTCACATACGTTTTCAAAACATTTATCTAGTGTTTCTACAAACACTTGTATGAGATCTAATATGCCCAACTCTGACTCGGAAGAGTCAACACAAAAAACAAAATATAATGTGGCATAATGTCTATATATCAATTTGTAGTCAGATCCTCCAATCAAACTGAAAAACATAACATGATAAAGTCAAACAAGAAAAAAAAAACATTGATAGGAGTAGGCTGTATAAAGTAGAACAAGTTTTACCTTCCTCCTTCCAAAAAATTGCACACATTATCATCACGCTTCGATACAAGTTGGAAGGTTTCCTTGATAATTTGCTGTTGCATATCTTCATTCTGAAACATAAGCGTAGTTGCCAACAGGGCAATAGTCAGTAAAATTGAGGAACAAGGAAAAACTGAAAGTTATGTTCGCAGGGTGAATGTATGGGTTAGGTTGATTTGTTAAAGCATAAAATATAAATGACGACCAAACTATCAGTTGCCCAGATTTTTGCAAAGATTAATGTACTTTGCATTATAGGAAAATAAGTAATAGTTGATAAGTTCAAAAGACGATGCGAATACTTACGAAATATTGGTAAAACTTTGACAACCGAGGTTTTCCATGGTTGTTGAATACAAGGATGGCTTTGATCATAATGAAAATATAATAATGAGCATATGCTCATAAGTTGGTGGTTTGGTTACAGTTAAAAAGTTTTCCCACAACGCAGGGGTTACAGTATCAGTTAAAGCACAATCGCAGAATCAACAAAAACCAAGTTTGTGATGGTGCACAAGAACTAACCAACACAATGTCAACATACGAAACGAACAGACGACGTGACGCACACATTCGCGAGATTTTATAACGTACCGGACCCTTGTGCGCCGGTCACGGATGGCCCCTACCGGCGAGGCTACGGTAGACCGCGGAGGTATGGCACACGCTCCGATCAGAAAAGACTCACCGAGGGGAATACTCGGGTGGCCGTTATGCTTTGGCGCGACAGGTTGCTGTAAAAGTTCGAAAAGGACCGTCTTCGGTTTTTCTTCGAACGTTCGGGAAAATGAAGAAAGTAGAAAACAGGTATGTAAACTTACATATTAAAATTTATAAATTTGCTTCCCTTGCCTAAAAAATAGAATTATCTTAACGATTTGACCTGCTGATATTCGGCAATCCTGCTCCCATCGCCTGACTCGTTATTTCTTTATGACTTGGTGTCGATTTGGGTTTGGTTATTCGCTGTTTTTAGCTTACATAAATTGAAATCTGCCTTGACTATTCTATCGTTAATGAGGTTACATATGTAGAGTTGGAAGCTGGGTCTGTTTGCGTTCTGATTGTTATACTACATCTTTGGTCCCCACATCCAGGCCAATCGCCACTTTATTGATAGTTTTGCAGATAAACATAGAAACATGCCTTGTCAAAATCAGTTGAATTCTTCTGATAGTAATGTTTACGCTCATTCTTATTGTACTTGGTGTCATTAAGTTTTATAATTATTTCCCCTAAAACAGCAAGTGCTCGCTTACCCATTTTAACATAGTTATTACTAAACATAAAAGGTATAGACAAATAAATATTTCTCTCTTATGCTAAATTCACCCCTCCTGAGATCACAGTATTGTAGTTCCTAAGTCTGTAAAATTTTTAACAATGTGTTATTCATGTGTTGTTAACTGCATACTTTGAAATCTTTAAGACCATCTCAAGCAATGAAATTCATCATAGTTAGAAAGGCAGCGGATGCCTGCTCAAGCACTCAATTAAGGTAAGATCCGTGTGTTGTTTTTTTCAACTTGATCAGTTTGCATTCAAGGATATTTTCTGATATGTGTGTCAATTTTAAAGAATAAATAAGTAGTTATTGCTAGGTTTCATTAAAAGAGGTGTATATAACCATTTGCAACTTA